TTTGGCCCCAGGGAAGCAGTGTGCCCGCGGGCGCAGGGGACGCACCGTGGGCTGGGCACGGTGGGCGGGAGCCCCTCGCCAGGTACCAGAAGAAAACCACAAAGTCAGAGAAACCCAACCAACCACCTGTCTCAGCAATGCACCCCGGTTTTGTACATTGATTGTTAATTTAAGAAGTATATATATAATATATATATCTCTCGTGATTGTATTTCCGTGGATACAACAAAAAAGCAGCAAGAGAAAATAACCGAGCTCTGTCAGCGTCCTTGGCTCTGGGGTCTCCTTCGCCGCCGTGTGCCTGTGTCACCCCCGGGGGGTGACTGGGGGTTAGGGACCCCCTGCAGCCTCGAGAGCCACAGTCACAGCTGCTGCACCCCCAGGCAGCGACACCCGCGCCCCAAGGCTTTGGGGGGCAGTGGGATGGAGGGACACGGGGGCTGCAGGAGGGGGAAACAGCCACTGCCTTTGGGGACTCCTGTGCCAGCGCAGGACAAAGCCCTTGGAGGTTTTGGGGCCATTCCCAGCACCAGCCCTGACCCAGCGCTCCGCTGAGCCCAGGAATGTCCTGGCACAGCAGGTCTGTGCCACCACCAGCCCTCCCCACCCTGCCAGAGGACCTGGCAGAGGCACATGAGGTCTGGGCCCCAGCTCATCCTCCTGGTGCCCCTGCACCGGCTGCAGGAGCATCAGCCGCACACAGCAAACCACAAGACACATTGTTTTGCTTTTCTTTCCCCATTTTTTGTTTTCCCATCCCCTTCTCCAGAGGCCAAGGCAGTTTTCCTTCTTTGCCCTTTTCCTCTCCTCCCTCCAGCCGCCCTCCATCCCTCCTGCTGGGATGCACACAGGGCTGAGCAGCACAGAGCAGGCAGAACAGAGGGGAAAGGCAGGAGCCAGCTCAGACAGCTATTTTAAGGTAAAAACAAAAGACCAAGAACCATGTGCTTTTCCTTCTAAGCTCCCACAAAGCATCCTTGGGAGCCTGGGCTGCCCCTTGGCACTTGAACCTAAACCACAACTTGCCATCAGCCAAAACCAAAAAGCAAACAAACAAATAAAAATCTGTAATATAAAAGATCAACATTGCCAGGTAACTCTGACTCTGGTGGAACACACAGGTTAAGCAATCCCCAGCTCTCTGTCCTTGTCAGGTCACGCTATGGATTTACTGTCCGAAGGGAAAAGGCAAAGCTGCCATCGCCGTTTTCCCAAAGTCTGGAATCAGGCAGTCCAAACAAAATCCAAATCAAGGGGAGAGCCCTGTGCCAGGGCACAGGACCAGGGGGCATCAGGGGGCTCTGGTGGTCCCCTGCCTGAGGATGGATGACCCATCTCAGGGTCATGCGCATGGCCCCACACACACATTTACAGCTGCTCCCCCTGCAAAACTCACGTTTTCGGCCCCAAACCCCTGCGGAGGGGAGAAGCCGAGAACGTCCCAGAGTGGATAGTGAAGGGGGGATGCACTTGTCCCAAGGGCTATCCATGGTCCCCGTGGCAGGCAGCATCCCTGGGCGCTGTGGTGCTGCCAGTGCCAGGCTGCTCCCACCCGCCAGGGTCGGGTCAGCGTGGGCCCCACCACGGGCAGCGGTGGGTGCCCCTGCCCCGCGAGTGACATTGTCCCAGCTCGTGCCCAGGCTCTGTGCCCCCAAACAGTGCCTGGGGTGAAGCCACCCACAGCCAGCGCACAGGAGGGAGGAGAGGAGGGACAAGCCCAGCCACCATGCCCACCCTATCCCTGGGATCGCCCAAGGGAGACAACGGCTCTGCACGGTCCTTGCCCCATGAAAGGGCACGCTGGGGTGGTTCCTCACC